AAAAAAAAAAAAAAAAAGACTCAACCACAAGCAACCAGTGGCCATTGCCTTGCTAGAGTCTGGTATGGCCATGTACTCTGTGAGCCATGGCTGTGGCCATGCTTCCTGGCTTTGGTCCCCCTCCCCCACCTTGGGGAGGTGAATCTTCCTTCTTCCTTCTCTTTCTCTCTTTAATTTACTTTTAAATAAACCTTTCTTTCTTAACCTTTTTGTGTGTCGCAATTCTTTGCAATCTACTCAGATCTCTGGGTTCCCAGCGCGCACCTCTGGTTTGCCAGCCCCGGCAGTGCTGCGCGCCACACCACACCTCACCTTACCTCTTCACCCTCACCCGGTCGGTCAGTACCCTAACACTCAGTATCTGCCTTATGGAATATCCCTGAACCTGGTCTCCCCCTTAACTTCGTAAGAACTGTTTAATTGCCAAGTCAATATTTGTGTTAAAACTTTGTGCAGAAAAGGAGGGAAAGAATCAAAATGTTCGGAAACCAGATTCACACTGCCAAACCTAAACACTATAATATTCCTAAGGTTCAGACCTCAGATCTCTTCTCTTTAACTATCTATACTCACTCTCCAGAAAAATCTCAATCAATTTCATGGCTTTAAGTATCCTCTATTGGCTCCCAAATTAATTTCCATCCCAGATCTCTTGCTGACTTCCAATCTCATTTCAACAATTGCCTATTCCACATCTCTTCTTGGATGTCTAATATTTAACAGGGCTAAAAATAAACTGATATCTGCCTCCCAAAATTGCAGCCTTCCAATTTCAGTAAAAGGGACTCCATTATTCCAGTTGCAGCAATCAAAATCTTTGTAGTCATCTTTGAATCTTCTCTTCCACACAATATGCCCACCTATAACAAATCCCACTGGCTCTACATGGAAAATATAGCTAGAATCAACAAATTCTCACCACATCTACTAGCTATCCTCCTCCCCAAGCCCGAGTCGCCATAATCTCTAACTGCATTATTGCAACACCCTTCTAACTTTTATTCCTGCTTTGGCCCTTGCCTCCTGTACCTTACAGTCTCTGTTCCACATAAGAACGAGTCTTTTAAAATAATGCCAGAAGGAACTCTGAGAAGATGATGGCAATTTTTGAAATCTCCCCCAAATTCCCACATGAAAATGATAGAGCAATATGATAGGAAAACCCAAAACTCATAGACAACATTTTTGCTTGTTTGCTTTTTAAACAGGGTCTTGCTCTGCCAACCAGGCTGGAGTGCAGTGGTGTGATCATGGCTCACTGCAGCCTTGATCTCCTGAGCTCAAGCTTCCTCTCACCTCAGCCTTTTGAATAGATAGGACTATAGACATGCACCAACACGTCTAATTTAATTTTTTTTCCTTTTCTTTTCTTTTTTTTTTTTGTAGAGACGGAGTCTCACAATGTTACCCAGGCTAATGGATAACAAATGGGTACAAGAGATCCTCACAAATCCTAAAATACAAATGGGTGGGGACAAACAACCAGCAACCTCAAACTCGAATGGTATTATCATGTGTGAGGAAGGAGGCAGAGGGAAACAATAAAGAACTAGACAGACCTGAGAATAGGAAACTCCCAAACAGTCAACAAGCATTTGCTAGAAAGTAGAGGGTCCATCTGAGAACAACAGGTAAAACTGGAAGAGGTTTTACCCACCCCAGTAGCAGGGGAAGTAAGGTCTGTAGGAGTTGAAGTAATCTATGCCCTATGAACTCTTGAAACCAACAGTCAGGGCTCCCTTTTGGGATAGAGCTCCACAGGAAGAAGATGCTAGGAGCAAGCCAGGCTCGATGGCTCAGCCTGTAATCCCGCACCTTTGGGAGGCTGAGATGAGTGGATTGCCT